TTCACAGACTCTTTATATTTAATTAGACATTATATAATGCTTCTGTTTGGGTAGGTTTAGAGTTAACCATCTAGGGATTAAGTGCCAAGGGATTAAACATCTAAGGAATTAAGTGACGGGATTAAGTGTCTGCTAATTATGGGACTGGATATCTTGAATTGTATTGGCATGTACATTGTTTTCAATTTGAGGCAGTCAATCGAAATGTTATTTGAAGTGCATGTTTATTTTTGATAGAGATAATATTGGAAAATATTTACATGCGACAAGAAAGGAAGCCAAGATGAGACATACCTTTACAGTATGATCTTGCTGTATTGTAGTCTGTCCTTTGTGTTGACAGAAAGATGCAGTAGGTGTAGCTAGCTGTTGTTTTGATGGTGAAGTCGGTCGTGTTACAGAAGTTGCCACCGTGGTAAATCTTCTCGTCTTTCAAAGTCTGAGTGTTGGGCCTTGACAACACGAGCCAGGATCCTGTAAGGTTTAGTAAAAAAGTTAAACACTGGGGAATACAACAAACTACTTCTTATACAGATGTTTGATCTTATGTTGCTAGAAACGCAAGGAATAATAGAGTGTAATAATGACTTGGGCTAATACTTTTTTTTAACATAAAGCTACTTTTATTTAATTTTTAAAAACAAATATGATCGTTTTTATCGTCACAAATATTGTACAGGAAGTAAAAAGATGTCGACATTGTACGGGAGACTGTATAGCGTGTTGATGAGTGGAAGTTTAAAAGTATGACGCTTGCAGTTAGAGTCTCAGGGGTTCAGCGGAAGTCAAGACACAAACTTACTCATATGACTCACAATGAGATTATGTTAGTGAGGAAGATAGAATTATTGAGGAAGGTTCGGTCCATGTGCATGAAACTGGTGGAGTTCTGTACTTCCAAAAATGTTAAGGATCATTGTTGTAGAGCTAACATAATATTTAAAAACAAAACAATATAAATCATGACCAAATAATGAGTTAGAGAAAATTAGGAGCATAAATCGATTTTTAGAATGGTAGTAAAGTTCCCTTTTCGAACCTATTGGTTATGACAAACGTAAGTAGAGTTCATCAATTTCTGTGACCTCAGCACATGAAGCGATAGTGTGGTCAGTACTATGCCCAGCCGCCTTTACTTTCTCCTAACGCGAGTCAGGCACCCATCAGATCTGAGTGGACACAAGGAAGTTCTACTGACTTGAACCCCGGATTCTAACTCACGACTTTCGTGTTAGCAGTCTAGCGCTCTACCGCTAGGTCACTCCGTCCCATTTGTAAGTATAAAAAGCTAACCTAAGTACCTGCTTTACATTCGCCTGTCTTTTGATTGTGGATGAAGCTACCACACATACTGGAGGCCTCACGGCACATGAAAGCACATGAGAGAGATGTCGTGTTAAAAAATCTGTATCCCAAATCCAAGATGGTTTTCTGTGGCTCCTCCAGTAGAGTAAATGTTTGCAGTTTTGTGAGAGCTGAACTGATACAACCTTTACAACACAACATGCATTGTTAATGCTTTCAGCAGTGGGAATTGTAAATCTTAAAATTTATTTAAATATAAAGTATTGTTCAAAATTTCTTAACAAATAAATTAATTTCGGCTAAAAAATAAAAAAAAAGTCAATAGGTTATAATCTGTCATGTGTAAAGTGTGTACATGCACCTGATCATATACTGCTTGCAAGAAATCAACATGTACTTGAGCTAAGCGTGTGCACACATTGCAATATCTAGAACGTCACGCCTTATGTTTTATATGATCTTTACATATCACAATAACTTATCAGTAATTAATGTTCCTGATTTGCTACAGGATGCAGCTCAGGTTTATTTCATTATGGTCTGTGTTACTGATAACTGAAAATACCTAATTTTAGTTAAGGGTTATAGTTTAATGTTTGCAGCGATATCGAAAGCGTAACGTTTTGTATGTATTTTCATTAAGCAGTAAAATGTATGTTAAATAACTACACAGCTTATGCTAATCATATATTTTAAACCCAGATCGCATATGCTTCAATTGAAGAGCACACCATCTTGTTCATTAATCAACTTAAGTCAGTTAAAACTTACCCAGCTACTTATTTGTCTAAAATTATTCAGAAACTAAATTATCCAACTACTTACCTTAATTATGCTACTCAGAAATTAAGTGATTAAATGTTCTATTAAATAAGTTTACTCTAATAAAATTCGTAACTTACAGCCACAGATAAGGAAACCCGACACCAGAATATTTGTTGAAAAACTTGGCCACATGTTCCTTCTGATGGGTTTCGCTAAAATACATCCGAGACACTGTTTAAAATGTTATAGTAGATCAGTTGTGATGAAATAGTTTAAAACGAGTTAAAACATTTTTTCATCGTTCTAGATGATGGTATTTTTAGAGGTTGTAAAACAATTTAGAGCCCAATGTGTTTTAGATATAAAAACTGTAATACTATTTAGATTGACCTCACTACTGTTTCCAAAATCAAGTTCACGTTTTAAGTAGTCAATATCATTGAGAGATATCACACCAACTTACATAGAACAATGTCCACTGGGTATACTAACTAAAGTATTCTAAAAATTTTCATATTTATGTTTATTTGTGTATTCCAATTTATATTTTAATTTTTTCCCGCTCGTGCCCAAGAAACACGGGGTAGATGAAGTAGAGTACATCTGTGTCAGTGACCACGGCAATATAAAGAGATATTGTGGTCAGCACTATGTCCAGTCGCTTTGGTTTTCCCAGAAATGGGTTACTCTCACTTGATCCCGTGATTCGAACATTAGACTTTCGTGTGAGCGTTCATGAGAGAAGAAGTTGATGTTAGAAAACAATATCCTACACTAATACAAATAATGTACACATTTAATTTTAAGAAGAAATACTACAGAAAATACCACCAGATTTTGTTCACCAAATCGATCCTTAACCGCAAGTGATCAAGTAAAATGTGTCTGCAATTTCTAATTAATCCATCGATTTTCAATAGCGATATTGGGATCGCGAATTTAGAAAAGGCGAGAAGCGTTATTTGTTATCGATTCATAAAACCTATAAGAGCAGTGAAATTAATTTTTAAGAGCGGCACTATCTCTAGATCTATGAGTAGGCGTAAAATTATTTACCATCAGCGGCTCCAACTCCAAGATCTAAATGAATTGTATAAACGTAATTATCTTGGTGGCGTAATTTTCAAACGTATTTTAATGGTTGAAGTAAAATTATTTTTCATGGAGCGCCCATCTCTGAGACTGGAAGTCAATTTTATTTTTACCGATTATCTGTATGTCGTTTTTGTAAATATTTAAGAAAAACTCACAAACCGGAAATATATTTGAAGGAGTGAGTCAAAGAGTATAAATGGAACTCAGACTAAATTTTCTGAATGGTTCAAATAAAAGATAAAAAGTGTATTTGAACTGTCACATTCAAACAAAAACGTACATTCAATTTCTATTAAGGTTTCTATTTATAAATGTTGTGACGTTTGTTTTTTAATGTAATCACGTATGCAAAAATCAATAGCTCTCTGTGTATTACCGTGCGTCCTCTAATTCCATTACAATAAAATATTCATCATGTAGCACAGGGGTCTCCAAACTACGGCCCGCGGGCCGGATGCGGCCCGCGAAGTCCTCTCATCCGGCCCGCGGAGATCTTTTTGTCCAAGGAAAAAATCGTTTGTTGGTGATGGCTGAGGAACTTTGCTCAGAAAAATCAAAGACATGCCTGGAATAAACTGGCCCCCGAACTGAAATTTGATAGTTAATGCGGCCCTCGGACTGAAAAGTTTGGAGACCCCTGATGTAGCACAACATTAGATCAGCGGAGCAGATTGTCTATAAAGGATTTAGATTGAAACAAAGCCTTTTCTTTCGTCTGTCGTCGTGTTTTTATAACAACCAATTCAACCAAGACATGTCAGGACGTAATCAATAAAAGTGAGTACGCTTGTGTTAGCCTTATCATTATCTTTGTATATATTAAAATTATTACTATTGATTATTATTATTATTTACTATTATAGTAAAATTGTATTTATATATCTTCTTAGTCTAAGAGACCATTGGATGATTGTTCAGTGGAAATCAAAGCACAAAGCCTGGGTCCTAAGTTGAGAAGAGCCAGGTGTTGCCCATGTATCAGGCCTCCCTCGCTCAACACAGCTGACGTACCCGAGGGACAGGACGTTACTGTACAGATTGGTATCAGCTGTATCAAAAGCGCTTCTGAAACGAAACCAGAGTTGGTGATCCTATGGCCAAAGGGGCTCCACTCCTGTTTGATTTTGGAGTTTTCTCTCCTAGATTGGATGTGCTGTCCTCAGCTGACGAGCCTCATCTGCCCGAGGGTTCTAACTCCAGACTTTCTGGTTAGCAACCATGCGCTCACCCGCCCGACACAACTCCTTATCTAACAATAAGTAATAGCTTACCGCAGTCGATGATAAAATATAAAACTAATTTTAAACAGATTTTTAAAACACATACATTTCTTTAAATTGTATACTTTCATAAATAAATAAATGCAGCTGCTTTGATAATCTTGTGTGAGCATGAGCAAACACAACAATGATACTAGCCTACAAATTTACATCCGGTTAAAAGTTTTAAACTTTTATTATTAAGTAAAAATGAAAAAGAACGTTATAAATATAATAACTGTGTCAAGGAAAAAGATGATGATCAACTTGCTTGATCGCGGGTGTTTTGTATGTATTTTAATCGCAACTATAAATGTTAAAGTTAAAATAGCTTACGTTAATCCACTTGTATAAATGTATTATTAATTGTGTAAGTAATCTGTAATAGTTTCTTTTAATATGATGTTATTTATAGCTATTCTGTTCTATTCTCTCAAGTTTAAAAAAATAGCATTATTATTTTACGATTATACCTTACCCACCTCCCTTAAAGATACATTTTAGATCATTGAAACATACGATAGGAGAACTTAGCAGAGCACAAAAAAAAATTAATGGTCAAACTAATAAGACAAATTTGAGGTTTAGACTTTTATTTATGCTAGATTTCAGACACTACATTTTATTTATTTTCTTTAAACTAAATCCAATTTTTCTCAGTCCATCTTGTTTTGTTTCTTTACGAATACTGACTTTTAACATTTCCCTTTGTAGTTTTTGTATTGGACGTTAAACGGGCTCGAGGCGGCGCAGTTGGAAAAGACCAAGTCACACTTGCAAATTTGACTAGCGCATCCTATGTTGGCGGTTGCTGAAAGTAAAAACGTTTGCTTTCATGGTCATGGTGATGGTGATGGTGATGGTGATGGTGATGGTGATGGTGATGGTGATGGTGATGGTGATGGTGATGGTGATGGTGATGGTGATGGTCATGGTCATGGTCATGGTCATGGTCATGGTCATGGTCATGGTCATGGTCATGGTCATGGTCATGGTCATGGTCATGGTCATGGTCATGGCCATGGTCATGGTCATGGTCATGGTCATGGTCATGGTCATGACATCTCATGACAAATAATCTCATGAAAAATGATCTCATGAAAAATGATCTCAGACAAAATATCCAAGACAAAATATATCATGGACAAATGATCTCAGGACAAATGACCTGACAAACAAAAGATAGGATTGGACAAATATCGTGAGATATTTTGTCTGGGATATTTTGTCTGGGATCGTTTGTCGTGTCACCGGTCACAGTAAAAGCATCTTTTCTTTTTTTAATTATGACATGTTACGCCGTGCATTAGTCATTTTCTGTTTAGACCAAACGAGATTATTTTTAGATTCTTGATTTGAAACGCATTGGATACTCACAACAGGTACAGCTCTTTCCAGTACATGAATATTTGTATGATTGCCATTTAGGACTACAATTTGTCAACTGGTCGTAACATCGATCATGGGCCTGACAGCACCTGCAATTAAATTTGCAAGAGGTATTTCTATACCATCACAATTCGGATTGGACACGTATTTTCTCTATCAGCACTATATGAGTGACAAGTATTCTATATCAACACTATTCGGATTAGACACGTATTTTCACTATCAGAACTATATGAGTGACAAGTATTCTATATCAACACTCTTCGGATTAGACACGTATTTTCACTATCAGAACTATTTGAGTGACAAGTATTTTAATATCAACACTATTTTTAATGTAACAGGTATTACTGTATCAACACTGTAAATTAACTATTTAGACCTGTCTGTCGCATCAACTGGTGTTCCTTGACCGCCGCTCCCACAGTAACAGCCGTAGCCGTTATAGTCACTATAAGCACTCCTGCCTGTTACAGTGGACAGCATGTCGTTCAGGTCCAATAGTGACTTCCTGCTTCTTGTTTCAATGTGATCAGAGGAAGAGCATCTTCCTATAAAATAAAACTTCATGCTGTATCTCGAAATACTTTTAAGATAAATACACGATAATAGCTGAATAATGTATTCGTTTAAAAACACTTTCAAATAATACTTTAAAACAAGTAGAAGTAATAAAACATGAAAATATTTTTATTCATTATTAACTTCAATAAGAGGAATCGTTAGTGCAAAGTTTTATTTTAAATTAAGGAAAAAATTACAGATATTTCAGTCTCAGTCACTATATAATTTTTTTTTTTTAATCTTGAAAATAAAAATGTATTATAAATAAAGGAAATATAATTTTTATTATGTATTTTACTTACCAGCAAACTGCATCAACAGAATAGACAGTATTACGAAAGTAGCCATTATACCTATATTTAAAAAATCAAAATGTATAGGCTAATATGTGGGCAATGATTTAATTCGATTTACACTTATGTTTTTAGCTACAAAGCGGATATATATATATTTAGTCTCTACGATAGCGACACGTGTCTTTATCATAATTTTATGTAATGATTTATGTGGATGTTTTAAGCATGTGTTTATGCTACCTAAAATGTCCGCTTTCTAGTAAAAAAATTTCTTAAATTTTATTTTCCGAAAATGTTTAATTATATCGAAATTAATGCGCTTGCTTATGCAAATGTTTAGAAGTACATTAAAAAATATATTGTCAAAAAAAAACCATGAGTAAAACGATTTTGGTTAAATAAAGACTGCAATACCTACCTCGTTGACTAAATCTCCACAACAACTGGTCGAGGTTTCAAAAGTTTTTATAGAAGTCCCCCACATGTTGCAGTCATTCAGGTGTTATCTCATCAATTCGGATTGTATCGCCTTAATTGCTGATTGCTAGATTTTTCCTGACAGGGGATATAACTCAGCTAGAGTTCATGCTTTAAACAGAAACATACTTGATTGGAATTGCGCAATAAACAAAATCAAATATATCACGCGGCCTTGAAGCAAACAAACACAGCAAAAAAATCAACAACAAATGGCATATTGATTGGATGACTATGTCAATCAGAAGCTCATATTGAGGTAAACAAACAGGTTGATGAAAATTTGAAAAGACCTATACATATCTCAGATACATATGTTTGCCCAGCATAATAGAATTACGACACTTTGAAGAAAATGGCAATTTTTTTATAATCTACAGGTCAATTTTAGTGTGCCTGAATATTTCCAGAAACGTTGAAAGACGATTCATAATACTACATTCAAATTTAACAAGAATAATGTTTCGTCAATTACACACCACTGGCCAAAACCAGTCAGTCAGTCGCCATCATTCACTCATCTCCAATCACACACGACCAGTTAATCACTCAACATTAATAACTCACCATCAATCACTCTTCATCAATCACTCAGCATCAATCACTCAACATCAATCACTCCCCATCAATCACTCAGCATCAATCACGTAACATCAACCACTCATCATTAATCACTCACAATTAATAACTCACCATCAATCATTTACTATCAATTATTCACCATCAGTCACTCACCATCAATCACTAACCATCACTCACACACTACCATTTCCACCCCACCAGTCAGTCACCACCAACGTAATGTAGAAACAATAGACAAAATCAATAGCAAAACAAATTACAAAAAAGCACAGAAGGTAAGCAACTCAAATAATTACTCATAACGTAGTTTCAAACCATTTTATTTGTGGTATCATTGGGATAGGTGCATTTTCTGTTGACCCTTTGAGCTTTTGTGAAAGCTTTTTTTTTAAATTTACAATGTCTATTTCTTGTGGGTTCATTGCAAATCTTCTAAATCAATTTTGAAAACGCTTATAAAGCAGTATAAATAAAGCATGAGTATTCTACACTAGCTTTCTCGTATATTCTTATATAACAGAAAGGGATACTGCATTTTCATGCAGTCTGGATCTAGAAATGTATTTTTTATTGATTTTTGTAATAAATACATTTTTTACATTCTCGTATGTACAGTAGGGCTGAGTAGGGCCTACAGAGGAATGTTTTTTAATCGTGCACAAAACTCACATGAAACGTTGACAGTTTTCACAATTTTACACCCCAGCACTTCAAAATATACTGATAATCGGGGATTTTATTTTAATCCGACAAAAAATCTAAATCCACGATAACTTGAGTACCATTACAGTTATGTTGAGGAAGTTTCATATATACGTTTTTTTTATCAAATTTGTAGTTTTGTTTCAGCTTTAGAAATATTTCCTGTTTCTGAAAAGCCAATAACTTGACTACTGTTTATGATAGGTGGATGACATTTCAAATATAAATAATACAAGGCATGCGCATGATTCCGTCAAATTTTAAGCGATTTCTTTTAACCGAAAATGGTGTTTTACTCTATTTCGATTTAAAAACTATAACGATAGAGCTGTTCGTGATAGTTAAACAAATTTTCGTGTATAACTACAAAATCTTATAATTAAATTGATTTTAATGTTTTATTGACCTCCAATAAACGGAAGATGTACTTTACTCTACCGATGTGTTCTAAAATACTGAGTACCGTTTCAGGATCCTATTTCTTAGATACAAACAAATTTTAATTATTTTCCTATGAAAGAAAGTATTAATTTCCATTATTTCTGATTTCTGAAAACAGATTACTTCTACCAGACCGACTTCTTCTAAACTTTTAACGTAAGTAAAGGCTCGATGACAATGCATTGTGACACAAAATGTCGCTAAATTAGATGTTTAATTAATTTATAAAAAATTAATTATAGTATCTTTATAAAGTCCTTATTTTTCGCTGTATTATGCACACATTGCTTACATTCATTTGGTGCTCAATTCTTATTTCTACTCTTTTAGTTCTGTATTAACTTTTATCAACGATTGTCTAAAAACCTATACCCCCATTTCCTTGGAATGACATCAGACAAATTTAAAACTGCAAATGTGTATTGTCACACTTCCCGTGGGCAGGAGAGCTGACATCACAAGTTTACACCACTTGGGGGGAGGGACACCTAATTTTAAAAAAGCAACCTTCCTAACAATACACAATTTTAATCGGCATAGTGATAAAATAATAAGGGAGAATAGTAACAATTAGAACTAAACAGATAGTTGTTGCAGACGGCAAAGAAATAAATACAATTGAAATACAATTGAAATACAATTGAAATATCACATTAGTAATAAAAGTGCTCTGCAAACCCCATCAATATCTATGTAGTGAAATCGATATTTCATATGCATCAGTCTGTTTAATGAACTTTGATGTATTCTGTTTGAGCTGTCGTCACTTACAACCCCAACACTGCCACGCCGCTGACTTGTAGTCCGCCTGTGCCCTGCCTGTCAATTAAAATCAATCTCACACACGTAGTGTTTGGTAAACCAACACGGGGAGTCGTTGATGTAGTCCGGGTAGATGTAGGACACACAGTCTTCTTGGTAGTAACTGTCGCTAGGCTCCCCTGATTGGGAAAATTAAAATTTTGAATTATTATAGTTAACACATTTTATTTTTCATGAATAAATGCGGTCATGCTTGTTATCTTTTTAAGAAATTATCGGTTTTTTTTTGTAAAAATACATATCTTTTATACCCAAGCTCTAAAGAGTAACAAATACTTTCTCTAAATATAAAATAAAGCACCTATGAAACCTTCGGTCTGCAAAAGCTGCTTTCGTCTTTTGACACACAATTTCTTTTTGGTAAGTTGTCTCAAACTCACATTGTAACGACGCAAACATCTCTTCTAAACCGAATAGGTTTTGGACAATATACATGACACTAATATTACGATCGTGACTATCTTTCGTAAACAATTTTGTTATCCGATCATGTTTCCGCCATCAAATCATCTATGACAACTAGACGACGACATTTTCCATCCCCCATTGATCCGTTTGCTATGTCAGGAAGACCTTCTATAAATTGAACGTCTTTAATAGTATTGTACATGGTATCTTTTTGTTTCGTCTGTCGACGTCTTTTTTTTTATAACAACCAATTCAGCCAACACATGTTGGGACGTAATCGATAAAAGTGAGTACCTTTGTGTTAGGCTTATCATTATATTTTTGTATATATTAAAATTACTACTATGTATTATTAATATTATTTACTACTGTAGTAAAATTTTATTTCTATATCCTCATAGTCTAATAGACAATTGGGTGATTGCTCATTGGAGTTTCAATCACAAAGCCTGACGTTAAGATTAGAAGAGTCAGGTGTTTCCCATGTATCAGGCCTCCCTCTCTCAACACAGCTCACGTACCCTAGGGACAGGACGTTACTGTACAGCTTGGTATCAGCAGTGTCAAAGGCGCTTCTAAAACGAAACCAGAGTTGGTGATCAAATTGCCTAAGGGGCTCCATTCATGTTTGATTTTGGAGTTCTCTCTCCTAGATGGGTTCCTGTCCTCAGCTGACGTGCCTCATCTGCCCGAGGGTTCGAACTTGGGACTTTCGGTTTAGCAACCACCCGACACAATTCTTTATCTAACAATAGATAATAGCCTACCACAGTCGATGATTAAATATAAAACGAATTCAGATTTTTAAAACACATACAACCTTTCTTTAAATTGTATATATTTCATACACAAATAAATGCAGCTGTTTTGATAATCTTTTGTGAGCAAACACAACAACGATACTAGCCTACAAAGTTATATTAGGTTACTCGTTTTAAAGTTTTATTGAGTAAAAATGAAAAATAACTTTATAAATATAATAATTGTGTTATCGAAAATGATGATGATAAAATCGCTGGATGGCGAGTGTTTTGTATGTATTTTAATCGCAACTATGCATGTTAAAATTAACTTACTTTAATCCACTTGTATAAATAAATGTATTATTAATTTTGTAAGTAATTTGTAATAGTTTCTTTAAATCTGGTGTTATTTATATCTATTCTATGCTAGTCTTTCTGGTTTAAGTAATAACATTGTTATAGTACGATTATAACTTACCCAACTCCCACAAATATGTTAGATCATTTAAACATACGATTTGTGAACTTATCAGAGCACACACAAAAATGGTAATGGTCAAACTCATAAGGTGGGACGGAGTGGTCTAGCGGTAGAGAGCTGGACTGCTAACCGTTAGTGTCGAGTTCGAATCCGGGTTCAAGTCGGTAGACCGTCCCTGAGTTCACCCAACTCTGATGGGTACCTAACTCACGTTAGGGAAAGTAAAGGCGGCTGGGCATAGTGCTGACCACACTATCTCTTCATATGCCGAGGTCACAGAAACAAGTGAATTCTACTTCACTTGCCCCATAGGCCGTCAGGTTTGAAAGGGAAACATTAAAAAAAAAACTCATAAGACAAATTTGAGGTTTAGACTTTTATTTATGCTAGATTTCAGACACTACCTTTTATTTATTTTCTCTCCAGGTTATCTCAACCCCTCTTGTTTTATTTCTCCAAGAATAGAAAGGTAAGGGGTCAGTTGTTTTTTTTTTAATGTATTTACTTTACGCTAGCAGACTGACTATCAACATTTCCCTTTGTAGTTCTTGTATGTGGGGTTAAACGGACTCGAGGCGGCGCAGTTGGAAAAGACCAGGTCACATTGGCAAACATCACAAGCGCATCCTTTGTTGGTGGATGCTGAAAATAAAAACGAATGTTTTCATGGTCATGGTCATGGGATCCCATGACGAATAATCTCAGGACAAATTATTTTCAGACAAAATATCCTAGACAAAATATCTATTAAGACACTTTTTACTTGCTCGTATATACAAATTATAGAAAAACTCTTGTAATCGTGC